GAAAAGTCGGATTAGACTGTATTTTCTACCTCGTTGGGGAACTGAATAGGCCTCAAGATTTACGCGATGCCAAATAGGGTGAGGCAACGTTCACACCCTGACATAGTGTACCTACGATGAGTTTTCGAGCCGCGCCTGTCGCACGGAGTGATTTCTCGAGGGTGATATATTCTGGCCTGGTACAGAGACGGCAAGAGGACAACAACAAACTAAAACTGTTAACAACACGCAGTATTGTGATCATGGCCATGCTATTGAACTTTAAAAAATAAGGTGAGAAGTTAACGCCGCCCGTCAGCATTTTCTCTTTCTGTGGAAATCTCGACACGCGCAATCGAAATTCCGAGTGGGAAAGAGGCTGGGGTTGAAGTTCTACCCTTACATGGCCGCCAAAGACAAAAAAATTACTGTGATGAAAAGCGTGTCCTTAATGGATTTAAGAACTTGCTACAGAAGGGGTTTTGGAGCATTTTCCTGTTCTCCAGAGCTGTCTTACCATGTAATGATTATCGGGTTCCCGTTATGACAAATAGATACGTAACTAGGCCTCTAACAGTGTCCACGGTGAGGAAATATCTAAATATGATTCAACACTTCTTGATCACGTGAATTTTTTCCCCACGCTTAGTTAGATGATCTTAATTCATCAAACAGAGCAAGCCACTGTCACGTGAAGCACCCTTAAGTTATGTAAGTCTCTCGCTTATTGGCTTTGCCACGCTACTTTAGAGGTGCTCCTTTCTCTTTTTAATGCAGGTCGAAACAAGAATAAAATCCAAAATAATCAGAACTGGACTGGATGCTAAATTTAGCTTCGATTTCTTTAGCTGTTTTATTTTTCATTTGTAATACTTATCAAGAAGTCATAACAATTAGCTTTCCGGACTTTTTTTTCAAGCACAAGTTTTTTAGTTTAAGTGCAAAGTTATAAAAAGCACTTAACAGCTACTTAAACGATATCTTTATTGGTCTTGATTATAAGTTGATTTAGGGTAATCTGCTACTGAGCTTATATCCTTATTTTGTCAATCTTCTACTTTTGGCGGTGATATATGAAAGAATCCTTTTCAATGAATCCAGCTATAAATGGGAAGTTTTGTTCAGTTGTTTTTTAGATACGGAAGCGTTTTGTTATTTTATTGATTAAGTATTAAGCATTAAAACGCTTGACTGGAATGCATAAACAAAATTACAAGCTGAGTGTAATGTGACATTTTAGTTGAAGTCCGTGCAAGCTCCTCAGTGAAATTAATCTTCACAGGAACCTTTTTGTCGGAATACAAATTACATAGGACATGCAACAAACGCATAAAATGCAATAATTTTTTAGTCCTCCTGCGTTCTGTAGAAGACAAATAACGTGTGAAACGAGCAAAACATCTCACGGTTAATGTGCTGCAGAAAATATCTCTGACAGCCCAGTTGTAGTCCTCATGGGGTAAAAAAACATGGAAGAAAAAAAACTGTAACGAGATGTTTTCGGTGTTAAAAATCAGATATAGAGATTGTTCATTTTCAGTTTGCTTCAATGGTAAACAGGATATCAATAGATAAACCTTAACAAAACAAATACAAACTTTACTGAAAATGAAGCCCTTCATCGTACATCAAATCATGTGGCTGCACTATTTTCTTATATATTCATTGGCATAGCCTATATACATGTAACTACAATAACCAAAAAAAAGACAACTTCATTTGTACACATGTATCTGTACGTTTTTTTCTTCACAGGTCTAGAGAGTATTTCATTTTGCTAGGACCATTTAGTTATCCTGTATTACCATGTCGGTGGAAAGCGGTATGTTTGCTTCAAACAGTTCATTGCACATCCACTATTCCTCTTTAGTATAAATCTGCTAGCGTTCTATCACAAATGCCGTTCTCTGATTGGCTACGCTACTCACTATTCTGTTGTAGATAGTGAGTAGCGTAGCAGTGTACCCTTGTTAACAAAATGGAGCCCGCTTCTTGGCGTTTTCGAAGTGTCTGTGAAGAGGATCCAGATAAAGTTTTGAAGCCGACAAGTGGATTTATACTAAAGCAATAAGGTTTTCTCTCTGGATTTCTATGCGTGATAGTTGACTCGGGCTGCGCCCTTCAACTATCGCGCGATAGAAATCTCGAGCTCATAATCTACTTTAATAGACTATTCCCAAGGTCTTGTTAGAATACATCAAGTGAAACGATTAAAGTTCACTGTAAGTTCTTGTCAGGCTCTCAAAGATCAACTGAGAAAACAAGAAAACTGTGAACAGTCTTTTCTATCCAGTGATCGTGTAACATTTGTTTTTTCCCCAGGATATATCGATCTTACAGACATGTCAGGCAGTGAAGGGTAGGTATAGTTTTTGTTCACTTTGCCTCGATGTGCTCGCTTGTTGGCTTATTAATGTGAATTTTCACATAAAGTGACAACTTATTTATAGAGAAGTATTAATTTGTTATATGAGACTAAGCTCTGAGACCAGTCCTTTCCAAATTGTTCTTCATTTATGTTTTTAGTTGTCAATATCGCATTTGCGTGATATTGAGGGGTTTTCAGAAGAAAAAGATCCGTCTGTCTTAAAATTGCACAGGAAGGCTCATTTCAGCTGACTTAAGACGGCTGGAAAGTAACTTGAAGTCTTAATTCCAGGGGGACCGACTAGAAATGATTTTATGCCGAAAGACATTTGCCTTGAAGAAGATTGACAAAGAGCCGCAAAAGTCGGCTGAATTTTAACAGTCATTTCGGACAAAACTAACACCCAAAAGGCTTTTTCAACTGACTTAATAACTTAAAAGAATATTTCCTTGAAACCCAACATAACGTGGATTTAGAAAAAGGTGCCTTCTATAGGTTCGGACTCTTAACCGTTATTAATTTCTACAGGCAGAATCAACGACAAAAAAATCTGATTTATCGTTATTCTATATCTAATACGTCTGTCGCTAGACTTTTTTTTCTTGCTGCTAACCCACTACATGTCACGAAAGTTGATGGAGATTGCAGTCTAACATTTTAGTTTTAAGTATATTACAACAGCTTTTGCATTCCACCTGACATTGCAGAAGGCGGTCATCAGACGAAACATTATCCACGGGTTCTGTGTTTCTTCCATTGGACAAACTAATGGATAAAGTCAGGACATTTGTTCGCGAAAGAGGGATTATGGTAAGACTGTTTATAAAACTACGTTAAAGGAGACCGTCGTCTTAGAATTAGTGATTAATTCTTTGGACCACTAACAGCTGATAGACGCCCAGTAGTAGGTCTCTTGTGGTCTGCTAGAGACTCATTGAATAACGTTATTGATTGATTGACTGTTTATGGTGTTAGGCTCTGTTTTGTCTTAAAGTAGGAACCCGTGGTATAGTTTGTCGTCAATGTAAGCTAAATGACAACCGTTAGGAAAAAATTATGAACAAATGACTTTCTGAACTTCTTCTTCCTTTACTTACCGTCTGATAAGTCAGCGTAAGTGGCTCAGTGTAAGTGGTCTGGGGTCAATGAAGGGAATTTACCACAATTCCATCGTTAATAGAACACCGACAATCAAGAGTTGAGCATCAAATAATTTGTTTTTATTCTTAATTTTAAGCAGGAGGACTTTTTCCATGGTTGTGACCTACTGAGGACAGGGTATGTCAGTGCTAGTGACTTTAACAAAGCTCTGAAGGAAGTGTTTGAAGAGCTCTTAACGGATGAACAGGTGGAAGAAATACAGAACCGATACTGCGTGCACAACAGCCCTGATAATTGCTTCAATTGGTCAAAGTTCTTGCACGATGCTGAGACTGGTAAGATTTCGTCACTCTTATCTCTCATAAACTATTTGATAACAATTGCTAATAACTCAGAGAAAAAAATTTACACTTAAATCGAGTTGAGTATCATATTTTAATTAAGAGTAGTATTTTAATTCTCCTTGTTTTTTTCCTGCTGCCTGAGAAGAAAGCTAGGCAGCGGAAAAATTAGCATAATTTCGAAACAAAACGCATACTTTTGATGAAGGAAACCGGTTAATGATCTCAGTAATTATCTCAATAATTAATACTAGCTAGTGCACTGAAGCTATAAACGGTCGGGGAGGAGGGTTAAAATGGGTTACCCATGCACAAGGTTGTGATGTCAAATTGAAAACGTCCAGCATTTTTTTCGCAAATTGTCTTCCTTGGAGAAATTGCTCAAAAACTGATTATTTTAGCTTGGGCGATTTGCTTTCCGAGTACAGACTACGTGATATTCTCTAGATAATTGTTCTTTTATCCATCTAATAATTATTTGTTCATGTACACGCGACTATTTGAAAGTCTGAAAGCGAGAATTCTCAAGAACAAACCACCCAAGGTAAAAAGATCTATTTCTCTCCCTTCAACGATTTACTTAATATCTTGTACTGACTTTCTAGAGGCGTTTTTTCATGCACGCGAACGTACTTTTTTCTTTTTAATTTTGATACCGTTTTGACAACCAGTGCAGCCAATCACCATGATAGTGTTCTTAAACGCTTTAACTGTTGAATTGAGAGAAGGAAAAGAGAGAGAGAGAGAACCTGGTGACAAGGCTCACTCGCAAGCGGAGCATTCCATCCACTTGTCCATTTCGCCTATTCTTTGCAAGATGGCCTGTTCAAAAATTCCTTCAGCAAGATCTCGTACTCGTTTTGTTTACAACGCGCTGAACACACGGTCCAACTAAATATTAACGATAATGGGAAAATCAAGAACTGGGAGACAGTTCTCAGAAATGACATTTAAGGAAATACCCAGTAATTAATAAGAAGTTTACCTTCAAATTTGACACAAAAGGAGTTGGTTAGTATGAACTCACCAATCCATTCATTTACTTTTGACTTTGTTTCTGGCCTATGTTGTATTTACTTTTTTCACTGTAAAAAGACAAGCAATAAAAACAAGATGGCGAGACAAAATGTTACACTTAGATGAAGTCACAATAAGAAAGATGTCAGGTAATTACAGAGGCTGTATTTGGAAAGAGAATTGCAAGGGATCCAACGAGTGACTTTCGGCACGTGGGTAAGATGCTCTTTCAGTGAACTTTAGAAAGCTACTTGGAGCTATGGAAGGACATTCAACTCCGTTTAAAAGAGATATTGACAAAGATAATCAAATTGAAACACTAGAGCTGTAAAACGTTCATACCTCCGGGGGTTATGTTATGTATGTTGTGTTATATGTCTTTACGATATCTAATGATAGTATAAAGTAGCAACTGCCAAGCTAGGGTTAAAGGACACCTCATTTTTTGTTTGCTTTACAAGAACCCTTTGTGCCTCAGAACAGCACTTTGCAGCCTCAGAAGACGGAGCTACTAAAGAGAGTTGCTCTGCTAATGAAGGGTAAAATGGACCTCTCGAATCTACTGTGCCAAGCGCCCAGTCAGAATTCAAAAAGGTACTTGCTTTGATAGTTACAATTACATTGCAATTAAATTGCAATTACATCTACACAGTTTTAAAGCATATTCTCACCGTTCCTGGTAGGCCAAAGTTGATTTACTATTTTATTTAATGTTTATTTCTTAAAAGAATTCCCGAACTTGAGGGAGGGGTTTAAGTCGAGACAGTTGCCTATTTGATATCAGCCTCAGCTGCAAGTACTGTCACTTGTCAACCATGAATACGTTTTTCCATTTCCCTTTTACTTTCCATTCACAGGAATGGACAAAATGACCATAAATTTGACAAGCAGGCAGAAGACGTCTTTCAGCTTCTTGCTGCGGTCATCGAAAAGGGAGAATTAAAGGTTAGTGCTCACAAAAAATTCTCAGTGCTAGTGAACATTTCTTAAAATACCGGTCTTAGAAAAGCTTTTAAACATGAGAGGCAAGAGCCATTGCATTTGTATACCTTTCCTTCTTCCGCGTTCATCAGTCAATTGTGTCAGACGTTCTCTTTCACAAGACCCTTGAAATGTATTTTGACACAAATTACATTGTATTTTAAGGCCATCATGGACATGTACACAGACGAGACGGGTTTTAATTGCCAAGAATTTCTACAAGATTTGAAGGTGGGTACTATATATCATTCCCTCACTTTTCACATTGTTGTTCATTGTTTGGACGTCAATGTAATCATTCCAAATCAAGATCACGGTTACCTGTGTAATGACTGATCGGGTGGTCCAAAATATTCGACCAGGTCTTGAATGGTTCTAACTGAATTTGAACTTAAGTATTCGGCTAATCGCGGTTAGTTGTGACAAACTGTATTAATTTCAACGTAACTTAACTCTTTTTAGTTTCCATGCTGTTACCACAAGCACGTAGGTGGGCCCATCATCGAAGGCGGGGTTAGGTTTTGCTATAAGTAGTAACAACAATGTTAAGAGTAATCTAAAGAAAAGTCATTTAGACAAAACGAATCGATTCACAGTAACAAAATAAGTCTAGTATAGGTCCTTTTTTTTAAAAGATACATTAATTTTGGTGGTTTTCGGCAGATTTCATCCCTCACATCACATCATCATGAATTATATTGAAGCCATTTATTAAGAACCCCAAAGGTGTTTGCCCAAGGAAGTTATTTGTGATGCTATAACAAATGTCAAAGTCGAAAGTCAAAAAGGGCAAATACTTCATTTCACTGTGTTCCCTGACAGCTAATTATTTTTATATTGCAGAAAGTGGAAGATTGCCATAAAAAATCAAGACCACCTTCTAGAAGCAACAAAGTCTCAGCGCAGTCACTGGGATTTTTCATTGACATTCCTGAGGATCAAGTGTATTCTTCCCCGAGCTCGAAGCTCTCCATCAGACGAAGCCGAAAGCCATTCAGTATTTCTTACGAAGCCTTAGTTTGGATAGTATTTACGATCGTGACGACACTGTGCGTGGTTGATCGATTTGTTCTGAAAGGTGACGTGGTGCTTGGACGAGCAGCAAAATTCCCCAAGCGTCTTTGGGGTACAAACATTGGTGAGACAATCACTAATGTCGTGTGGGGTGTCACAGCACGTATGATCATTACCTCTCAGAACTTGATGTTTTACACGATGCTGTGGTGCTTTCCAAACTTCATCAGCGAGATCGCTCCAAACTGGATTACACTGGACGGAATCCGTGCTGTTCATTCAAGAATTCACACGTTCGCTGGAGTATTCTTGATGGCTATACCATCTCTGGCCCATGTACTGGTGATTTTCGTTCCACCCCTTATTGACGGCACAAACCTGAAGTATTATCCACCGAGCACGTTCAACTATAGCAAGTATCCAGACCACCTGAACTGGTCGGAATTCTGGGATCCTGCAGCTGTTCAGGGCTGGACATTTAACGACCACACAGGCGTTCATCTGACGGCTGACGAGATCTACCGTTTCATGATCATAATTGTCATATTCTGCATCTTTGTTCCTCTGAGCAGATCGCATTACGCAAACCATGGAAGCTATTCTTTGGCAATGGCCTTGCACATCTNGTCTATCACAAATGCCGTTCTCTGATTGGCTACGCTGCTCACTATCTATTCTGTTGTAGATAGTGAGTAGCGTAGCAGTGTACCCTTGTTAACAAAATGGAGGCCGCTTCTTGGCGTTTTCGAAGTGTCTGTGAAGAGGATTTAGATAAAGTTTTGAACGACAAGTGGATTTATACTAAAACAATAAGGTTGTTCTCTCTGGATTTCTATGCGTGATAGTTGACTCGGGCTGCGCCCTTCAACTATCGCGCGATAGAAATCACGAGCTCATAATCTACTTTTAATAGACTATTCCCAAGGTCTTGTTAGGATACATCAAGTGAAACGATCAAAGTTCACTGTAGGTTCTTGTCAGGCTGTCGAAGATCAACTGAGAAAACAAGAAGACTGTGAACAGTCTTTTCTATCCATTGACCGTGTAACATTTGCTTTTTTATCAGGATATATCGATCTTGCAGACATGTCAGGCAGTGAAGGGTAGGTATAGTTTTTGTTCACTTTGCCTCGATGTGCTCGCTTGTTGGCTTATTAATTTGAATTTTCACATAAAGTGACAACTTATTCATAGTGAAGTATTGATTTGTTTTATGAGACTAAGCTCAGAGACCAGTCCGCTGCAAATTGTTCTTCATTTATGTTTTTAGTTGTCAATATCGCCTTTAAGTAATATTGAGGGGTTTTCAGACGAAAAAAATTCGTTCTTCTTCAAATTGCACAGAAAGGCTCATTTCAGCTCACTTAAGGCGGCTGGATAGTAACTTAAAGTGTTAATTCTAGGGGAACCGTCTAAAATTGACGAGAAAGGGTTAAACATGAACGGATGGCTTGTGTCCATAAGGCCCACTACTTCGAAGAAGAAAACTTGATTTCATGCCGAATTAAAGACATTTGCCTTGAAGAAGAGTGACAAAGAGCCAAAAATCAGCTGAATTTTAATAGTCATTTTGGACAAAACTAACACGGTCTAACACCCAAAAGGCCCTTTCAACTGACTTAACAGCTTAAGAACATTTCCTTGCAACCCAATATAACTTAAGATTTAGAAGAAGGTGCCTTCTATGGATTCGTACTCTTAACCGCTATTAATTTCTACAGGCAATATCAACGAAAAAAATCTGATTTAACGACATTCTATATTTAATACGTCTGTCGCTAGACTAGCTTGAACTTTTCAGTTTTTTTTCGCTGCTAACCCACTACATGTCACAAAAGTTGATAGAAATTGCAGTCTTACACTTTAGTTTTAAGAATATTATAACAGCTTTTACATTCCACCTGACATTGCAGAAGGCGGTCATCAGAGGAAACATCATCCAACGCTTCAGTGTTTCTTTCATTGGATGAACTAATGGATAAAGTCAGGACATTTGTTCGCGAAAGAGGGATTATGGTAAGACTGTTCTTGAAACTACATTAAAGTAGACCATCCTCTTAATTAGTGATTAACTCTTTGGACCAGTTCATAGACACCTTGTAGTAGGCCTCAAATAAAGTTATTGATTGATTGACTGTTTTATGGTGTTAGGCTCTATTTGGTCTTGAAGTAGGATCTGTTAAATAAGCACTGACTCAGCGATATCAGAAAGGGATATTGTTCTTGAATGAATTTGTATTGCGCCAATCTGCGTCATATGTTTTCGATGATTTTGTTCCCTCAGGCTGGTTTATTAAACCCGTTGTATAGTTTGTCGTCAATGTAAGCTAAATGACAACCGTTAGGCGAAAAAAAATTATGAACAAATGGCTTTCTGAACTTCTTCTTTCTTTACTTACCGTCTGATAAGTCAGCGTAAGTGGCTCAGTGTAAGTGGTCTGGGGTCAATGAAGGGAATTTACCACAATTCCATCGTTAATAGAACACCGACAATCAAGAGTTGAGCATCAAATAATTTGTTTTTATTCTTAATTTTAAGCAGGAGGACTTTTTCCATGGTTGTGACCTACTGAGGACAGGGTATGTCAGTGCTAGTGACTTTAACAAAGCTCTGAAGGAAGTGTTTGAAGAGCTCTTAACGGATGAACAGGTGGAAGAAATACAGAACCGATACTGCGTGCACAACAGCCCTGATAATTGCTTCAATTGGTCAAAGTTCTTGCACGATGCTGAGACTGGTAAGATTTCGTCACTCTTATCTCTCATAAACTATTTGATAACAATTGCTAATAACTCAGAGAAAAAAATTTACACTTAAATCGAGTTGAGTATCATATTTTAATTAAGAGTAGTATTTTAATTCTCCTTGTTTTTTTCCTGCTGCCTGAGAAGAAAGCTAGGCAGCGGAAAAATTAGCATAATTTCGAAACAAAACGCATACTTTTGATGAAGGAAACCGGTTAATGATCTCAGTAATTATCTCAATAATTAATACTAGCTAGTGCACTGAAGCTATAAACGGTCGGGGAGGAGGGTTAAAATGGGTTACCCATGCACAAGGTTGTGATGTCAAATTGAAAACGTCCAGCATTTTTTTCGCAAATTGTCTTCCTTGGAGAAATTGCTCAAAAACTGATTATTTTAGCTTGGGCGATTTGCTTTCCGAGTACAGACTACGTGATATTCTCTAGATAATTGTTCTTTTATCCATCTAATAATTATTTGTTCATGTACACGCGACTATTTGAAAGTCTGAAAGCGAGAATTCTCAAGAACAAACCACCCAAGGTAAAAAGATCTATTTCTCTCCCTTCAACGATTTACTTAATATCTTGTACTGACTTTCTAGAGGCGTTTTTTCATGCACGCGAACGTACTTTTTTCTTTTTAATTTTGATACCGTTTTGACAACCAGTGCAGCCAATCACCATGATAGTGTTCTTAAACGCTTTAACTGTTGAATTGAGAGAAGGAAAAGAGAGAGAGAGAGAACCTGGTGACAAGGCTCACTCGCAAGCGGAGCATTCCATCCACTTGTCCATTTCGCCTATTCTTTGCAAGATGGCCTGTTCAAAAATTCCTTCAGCAAGATCTCGTACTCGTTTTGTTTACAACGCGCTGAACACACGGTCCAACTAAATATTAACGATAATGGGAAAATCAAGAACTGGGAGACAGTTCTCAGAAATGACATTTAAGGAAATACCCAGTAATTAATAAGAAGTTTACCTTCAAATTTGACACAAAAGGAGTTGGTTAGTATGAACTCACCAATCCATTCATTTACTTTTGACTTTGTTTCTGGCCTATGTTGTATTTACTTTTTTCACTGTAAAAAGACAAGCAATAAAAACAAGATGGCGAGACAAAATGTTACACTTAGATGAAGTCACAATAAGAAAGATGTCAGGTAATTACAGAGGCTGTATTTGGAAAGAGAATTGCAAGGGATCCAACGAGTGACTTTCGGCACGTGGGTAAGATGCTCTTTCAGTGAACTTTAGAAAGCTACTTGGAGCTATGGAAGGACATTCAACTCCGTTTAAAAGAGATATTGACAAAGATAATCAAATTGAAACACTATAGCTGTAAAACGTTCATACCTCCGGGGGTTATGTTATGTATGTTGTGTTATATGTCTTTACGATATCTAATGATAGTATAAAGTAGCAACTGCCAAGCTAGGGTTAAAGGACACCTCATTTTTTGTTTGCTTTACAAGAACCCTTTGTGCCTCAGAACAGCACTTTGCAGCCTCAGAAGACGGAGCTACTAAAGAGAGTTGCTCTGCTAATGAAGGGTAAAATGGACCTCTCGAATCTACTGTGCCAAGCGTCCAATCAGAATTCAAAGAGGTACTTGCTTTGATAAATACAATTACATTGACGTACACAGTTTTAAAGCATGTCCTCATTATTACTGGTTGGCCAAAATTGATTTGCTATTTTATTTAATGTTAATTTAGTAATGAAATTTGCGAACTTGAGGGAGGGGTCTAAGTCAAGACAGTTGCCTTTTTGATATTAGCTTCAGCTGCGAGTACGGTCACTTGTCAGCAATTAGTTTTTCCATTTCCCTTTTACCTTCCATTCACAGGAATGGACAAAATAACCATACATTTGACAAGCAGGCAGAGGATGTCTTTCAGCTTCTTGCTGCGGTCATCGAAAAGGGAGAATTAAAGGTTAGCCATTACAAAAATTTACAGCTAGTCAGTAACATTACTCAAAACACCAGACTTAGAAAAGCTTTTAAACTTGACAGGCAAAAGGTATTGCAGTTGTATACCTTTTCTTTCTTCCGCGTTCAACAGTCAATTGTGTCAGACGTTCTCTTTTTCAAGACCCTTGAAAGGTATTTTAACACAAACTACGTTGTATTTTAAGGCCATCATGGATATATACACAGATGAGACGGGTTTTAAATGCCAAGAGTTTCTACAAGATTTGAAGGTGGGCACTATATATCATTCCCTCACTTCTCACATTGTTATTTGATTGTTTACACATCAATGGAACCGTACAGTCTTCCAAGTCAAGATCGCGGTTCCCTCTGTAATGACTGATGGGGTGGTCTAAATATATTCGACCAGGTCTTGAATGGTTCTGACTGAATTTGAACTTAAGTATTCGGCTAATCGCGGTTAACTGTGACAAACTGTATTAATTTCAACGTAACTTAACCTTTTTAGTTTCCATGCTGTTACCACCTGTACCCATCTGTATGTAGGTGGGCCGTTCATCCAAGGCGGGATTACGTTTTTCTATGGGTAGTAACAACAATTTTAAGAGTAAAATAAAGTAAGGTCATTTAGACAAAATCGATTTATAATAGCAAAACAGTCTATGATAGATCCTTTTTTTTTTTTGAAAACATACACTTATTTTGGTGGTTTTCGGCAGATTTCATCCCTCATATCACTCTTTACTAGCATCCGGAGTATAATGATTTTGCTGAAGCCATTTATTAACAACCCCCAATGGTGTTTTCTCAAGGAAGTTTTTTGTGATTCTATAACAAATATCAAAGTCGAAAGTCAAAAAGGGCAAATACTTCATTTCACTGTGTTCCTTGACAGCTAATTATTTTTATATTACAGAAAGTGGAAGAGTGCCATAAAGAATCAAGACCGCCTTCCAGAAGCAACAACG